GAGCATCATGACCATCGAACAGTGAGTGGTTATTCAAGCCCCCTTATTTCTGTCAAGACGTACTGATCCTTTTTCCAGCATTGTAGCATTTTATCTGCGCGCCAACTCCGCACACAAAGCGGGACCCCGAGAATCCGCAGCCCTCCAGGCGTATCTACAAACGAGCTTAGGAGGAGGTTTCATTACTATCGGTCAGGAAGCCACTGCTCTCTTGCGCGCGCTGCTCGTAAGCGCAACGTTCGTCGCACCTTCAGGTGGACGCGAAGTCTCCCCAGGAGGGTCCACCGTGGCTCTCAGAGCGATGGGAGTACAAGGCGTAACCGATACGTCCATCGATCCCGAGGACGATCCGGGGGCAAAACCCGCTCCCCCTCCGCTGCTCTCTCGGTTTGCTCTGGGCGGTTGGCAAGAAGACCAGCCCCGCCGCCGCCTTTGGATAAGGCGGGTCTTCGGGACGGCGTTTGTCTTGTTCCTCATCGCGATCACCTTGGGCATCGTCGTGTCGGTTGATTATAAGCAAGCTATCAGGACCGGGGCGCATGCATCGCTTGTCCAGCAGTTGCGGTGGGTGTCTGCCTTCGAGTTTATGGACGACCATACGACGTAACGATATCTAATTCTCCTCGGGCAATTTTGTAGATACGCGAGCGCGGCGCTGGCGTACCTCCTTCTCCACGTGGTGACGTTGGCTGCTCTGTATGGCGCATTATGTATCCCGCGCGTCCCGAGAGGCCCTGCCCTCCTCGTTCTCGTCGTCACGTCGCTGCTCGTAAGTCTCGTCCTGGCCACCGACACCCATCGTCGCGACTTTGATTCTGACCCTTCCGAACCGTCAGACTGTCGTAGCATTATACCGGCTTATTATCATGCATCACTCGACGACCTCTCTGCTCTCCATGGTGCCTGGCTCGCAGAACACGAGTGGCGAGAAGGCGGTGTTTTACATCCTTCATGCCGCCCCGGAATGGCTCGCAGTGGCGCTCCTGCTGAGCGTCGACGCGCGTTCGAAGTTCAAGACCGGCCTCCTCGGCGACAGGAACTCCAGCAAGCCTATGCCCGAGCCATGAGGCTGAGGAGCCCGTCGAGAACGGCGCCTAGGAAGCCCGAGTCTACGCACTCCCAGACACGGTTCCTGGCCCAACCAAGCAGAAGATAGGGGCGGACGCACTGGGCACTACAATATCATTCGCTACCCGCATGGATGGACGAACGGACTCCATTTCTTCTCTCTTAGCCCACTATTATTCACGAATGTTCACATTCTTTTGCCACCCAGTTACAACAATCTAGCTATCTCCGCGCATACTCTGTCACGAGTAGCTTGATTTACGGCGGCTACCGTCCGGCGCATCCATATACCAAGGGTGTTGTTGCCACCGACTTGACCGGTTGACCTTCGTACAGAATGCGGCAAATCAGTGGGTCCTTGGGTTAGTCACCGAGGCCACCGTTGTAAGTTGAGTCGGTATTCGCTGCCAGGACCGCTTCAGCTCGGTGGATGAGTCAAGGCACGTCGTCGAAACGCGAGACGCGGCGCTTAAGTGTCCGGTCAAGCGCATGCGGCGTGCCTCGCTGCTTTCGAACTTCTAAGCCACGGCCAGGTCAAAGTTCGACCATGACGCTCGGCCATCATTTCGGTCTGTTCTTCTGCCTCCACTATTTGACTCAGACTTAATTCTTGTGCAGATGACGATGCCAAGCGTCGATGCACAGGTTTAGGTATACAGACTACCCCGGATTGTCTCTAATAGACTCTAAGTTCAGTGCCTCCACCGTCCACGCGCCATTTTATGTAACGCTGCGGACTTTCCAGCGCCATCGTTCCCACGTTGGAGCCAGATGCCCTCCAAGACCTAGACCAGTCAAGCATGCCGCAGGAGCCGTGTACTGCATTTTGAGTCTTCTCCGACTACGATCCTCGCCGGTCAGTGGTAATACGCCGCCAAGCGGAGAAAATGCGATGTTCCCGCGATCGTATCCTCGCGTCTCCGCGCCCTCAGCTCCGGTGCGTCCTGGTGCGTCGCGGAATGCTCTCCGCAACCGAATCAGGAATCCCGGGGGGGGTTCTGGCCTCCGTGATTGCATCGGAATTCCGACACTGAGCGTATCAATACAGGCTTGTAGTACCCAGCTACACAAAGGAGTCGGTGTAGCTACTGCTGGAGGTATGTCATAACTCCAACAGTAACGTATGAGTGCGCTCACTGGGATGAAGCGCGGCAAGGTTGCATCCTACCCTCCTCCGAGTTGTGGCTAGCGCGATTGAGAGCCGAAGACCCCACGAGCCATCAATGCCGCCCATGGAGGCATTTGAATCCCGCAGCCGCAGCTCCAGATTCTCAGCCGCAGCCGTCCTCAGAAGCCCGCCACATGGCAGCCATGACCGCCCGCTCTCCACTGCCTCCCACACCTGATACTCGTTGTAGAACAATGGCACATCTTCGGCATGTTTTAAAAGTGCGGGGGACATGCCATCGTCGCCGACTGGATCCAACGAACGAACTCCTTATTCCCTTACTACCGCAATGTCTTCTAATTCAACACACGAGTTTCCTACCCCGGTTGGCGGAGCCCCAATCAGTGTCGATTTTGCGCCCTCGATTCTCTTTTCTGCGCTCTATGGTCTCCTCTTTCCGTTAGCCGTGTATCGTGCGGTTCGTCGCGATTCGCGGAACACAGTCCTGATTGGCACACTCGTTTTCGCCACGGAACAGTGAGTCCGTCAAAGATGTGGACATATAGTGGTGCGTGTACTTACCATATTCTCAGTATAGTTCTGTATGCACTGCGTGCGCACGTCGCGCACTCGGCATCCGCTCGCGGGTCTGAGGGCCTCGAGACGTATTTCCAAACCACGTTAAGCGCTGGGTTCATTTCCATTGGGCAAGACATTTCGGTCCTCCTACGCGCGCTGCTTGTCAGCTCAACATTCACGACGCCATCCGCACCGGCGGTTACTCGCGAACCACCTGCTGCCACGTCCTCTCGGCCACCGGGAGGAGCAGAAATGGAGGCCAGCGACAGGGACGGCACTACCAGAAGCATCCAAGAAGGCGATTCGACGAAACACCTATTCCCGCCGTCCGCGATCACTGTGTCGGAAACACGGGAGGATCAGCCTGCCCTCCGTCTTCAAATCCGCAACATATGTGGAGTCGTAGCCATCCTGTTTCTAGTGACGGTCATTCTGAGCATAGTGGCCGGGGTGGACTACAACCAGGCACTCAAGTCCGGCGCCCACGCCGAGCTCTCGCGGCAACTCATGTTTGTTCTTGCGTTGTGCTTGACTCTAGATTCATATTTATGATATATCATAATTGCAGGTACGCCAGCACAGGGCTTGCAGTAGGCCTCCTGATCATGGTCGCGTGCGGTGCTTCGTACGCAGTCATGGCGCTTCCCCGAGTCCCGAAGGGTCCAGCCATGTATCCTGCCGCCATCTGCATTCTCCTCGTAAGTACCAGGCACACATTCTCCGCCGCGGCGTGTATAAGTGCTGACTTCTGGTCGCCCTGATCTGGTAGACCGTCGTCGGCATATACCGGCTGAGTGTTCTCCACAACACGACGACTTCGCTGCTCTCTACTGGGCCCGGCTCATTCAGCAGTCCCGGCGCCAAGGCGACCTTCTATGTCTTCCATGCCGCGCCTGAATGGATTGCGGCAGCGCTCGTGCTTAGCGTTAACGTTCGGAAGGTGTACAAGACGGGCATGTTCGGTGACTTCACCTCGGACAAACCTCAGCCTGAGTAGTCTGGAGTGAGCGAGGCCTGTTACGACGGACGGTTACCGGTCAGAGGGTCTCTCTTTTCTTTCTCATGCATACTGTATCCCAGCCCTGACACTACGACACCATACTGGACTTTGCTATATAGTCCCAGTCCCAGTGACTCTTATCTATCCCCACAGTCTCGTACGGTATTGCCCTATGCCCATTGTTCTGTATTTATTGTCTCAATGGCTATTGTTCTCATTACCTATTGTTTTGTGGCTATTGTCCCTGTATGTATATTAGCATACACAAGCTGAGGACAGTCCTCAGCTTGACCTGGTTACCTATCACACTCTACTACTGGAACACCCAGAGTGACTTCTCTGATGAACTCTGAACCTGCCAGCTTCAGATCAGGGGCGTGGTGGTCGAATGGTACGAAGCCGAAGTTAAGAGGCTCGCTCGCCCGGCTCTCCTGCCCGTCGTCAACCGCACGGACCCCCGCTTCGGCGTCAACCCCCCCTTCAACGCTGCCCTCGGCATTCCCGTTGCTAGACAGACCGAGGACGACTAGGCATGGACGCCTCGGTCTTAGCGATATTATGGTACATACATCTGTTATAATCGGCCCTGTGCCACCTGAGCGCTCCCGCTCTGACAGTCACAACTGCTACTCGCTACTAGTACTGCTGGCGCGTGTAATGTGGGTACACCCCAGAAGTCGCGACCGTATTTACGCGCTACGTCCTATTTATGCTCTACTACGCGACTTGCGCGCCATAACACGCCTGTCGTGGTTGTTGCTCAACTGTTCCCCGCCCCGTGAAAGTTGCGCCGGGCCCGTAAACGCCAAGTCCGTCGTCGCCTACGACGGCTAATGAGCGACGTTAACGGAGCGAACGAGGACGTCAACGCTCAGGAACCCGCGCTCGTGCCTGGAGGCTCTGCAACTTGTACACGGAACGCCGTGGTGTCCTGATGAGCGCCGTGGTGCGCGGGTGTGCGGAAAGCAGGGGTAACTCGCTCGGGCGGGTCGGGTGTATGGAACAGACAACGTCGGGTCCGCGTTGTGGGCGTGAATTCGCAATGTGGGTAGGGAAGCGGACTGGATCCGAGGACCGCTGTAGTTGTACTATGAATGCTTGGATGGATAGGGATATCAGCAAATTTCACCGTGTCATATGTTATAAAGCAAATGGGAGTAGTCCGACATCCCGGGGAGAGCTTTAGTTTAAAAGTGGCTGGCAGTGGCGGCGGCACTCAAGTCGGTGTACCAATAACTGTAAAAATGGACATGTCCGGGATTGAACCGGACCCCTCTCGCAAGCTATGGGATGCTAAGCGAGCGTGATAACCAACTACACCACATGCCCATAGCAGTTTGGCGCTTAAGTCATATCATAATTTCATGGAGTGTTTTCTATTTTCTTGTACATTCGTCGAGGCCGCCAGCTCTCGCAAAGCGGGTTGGAAGCAGTTCAGTATAGGCGGAGAAGCCGAGCAGACGAGTCGAACAACCTGGCTAAGCGTGCTTGGACGTGCCTCAGCCACACAACCATGATCGCCAATTGAATCTGAGATTGTTCGACAGGCACTGAGGGGACGCTCGGCTCTGCGAAAACGCATTCTAAACGAGGACGACGGCATAAGGCGTCCCTGGCTACCTGGCAGCGGTGCATGCAAACTCGACCGTCGTGGGTTGTGGGCAAGCCGTGCACAAACAGGCGTGTGTACGACCGCCGGGGAACTATCCGAGCCAGGTACGAGTGCTTGGCGATCGTTATGACCATGGCTGCCATCTTGAGTGTAAGAAAAGCGAGCCGCGGGTAGTCACAGGCCCAACGCTGCTGGACAGACGCAGGCGGAAGCCCCGAGGAGAAATGTTTGGCGTGCTCGTATGTTTTACCGGGGAAGGCGGTCGGGGAGAGTGGGAAAGAGTGGGAAAGACGAAATCGGGGCAATTGCAGAAATCTGGATCAAAGGCATTAAGGGATATGCCATATATGGAAGGTCAGGTACAACTTGATGTGCCTGGCGAAGTCGCAGGCCATTTGGAGTCCGCCCTCGCTCTCCTCCCTCCCACCATCGCCCTCCCCTTCCTCCATGCCGTTCCGCCCGACGTCCAGCGCAGGGGCGCCGTCGACGGCGCGCCCCAGCACCGGCCGCCCAGGTACAGCCGGCTACTTCGACCGTGAGCCTCAGTACACCTACGACTACTCGCTCGAAGAGGAAGACGAGGACGATGAGTCCGACGCCGGCGACGTCTTCGCCTTCGGCCCCCCTCCCACCGCCGCCACGCCGATAAGCCCCCCGGCGCCGACGTTCGACCCAGCCAGCGTCGATCGGATGGGTCCTACCCCAGGACCCTCCGTCACCTACCAGAGGCACCCGTTCCCGTACCCACTCAGTCCCGTCGAATCGCCCCCCTCGACAGACTCCCAGAACCAAGACGCAGAAAATGCCTACAGACTACGCCGACTTCCCCCACAAACATCCTCTACTCCGCGAACCGCCGGGACTGGTCTGTCTGGCGTCAGCTCAGCTATCAGCTCCAGGGAGGTCCACGTTTCGTTGCCAAGGGGGAGCTTGCAGGGAGACAAAGGAAAAGAACGACCGCCGTCCACAGCGCGGTCTACGAGCTTCCCGAGCGTGGCGGACTCGGAGTCCGTAAAGTGAGTTTCAGTCCGATCAAGTTGGATTCCGACTAACCCGGAGCCAAGGATGGGGTTTGACTTTGACCAAGTGGAGGACGAGGAGGACAGTCCATTCCCCGAGGTACGCGCATCCGTATCGAACGTTGACGACCCGGAGATGCCTTCAACAACACTACGGATGTGGTTCCTGGGATTGTTGCTCACACTGGCAGCCGGGTGAGTGAAGCATGTAGATACTCTGCTTTTTGACCCGCTTAAGTGCTCTCAGGTCGGCGAACATCTTTTTCAACTTCCGACAACCTGCGCCGTCCATTGTGTCAAACGTCCTACTTCTCATCGCGCATCCATTAGGGAAGCTCCTCGCTTCGACCCTTACAATACGGACCTACAGACTACCTCGCTGGCTGGCGCCTATAGGACTTGGCGGCTATGAGTTCTCGTTTAATCCTGGACCATGGAACATCAAGGAGCATGCATTGGTGTACATCATGGCCAACGTGTCTATCGGAGTACCAACTGCTCTGAACGCAGTCGTCGTCGCTGAACTGAACTACGACGTGAAACTGGGTTACGGGTTCAACGCCTTGCTCATCCTCGCAACTCAACTTACGGGATTCTCGCTTGCGGGCTTATGTCGGCGGTATCTGGTTTGGCCTGCAAGCATGGTCTGGCCTCAGAACCTCATTGTCTGTACACTCCTCAACACGCTTCACGCTGAGGAGGAAGACGCACGAGGAGGCATCTCGCGCTTCAAGTTCTTCTGCTATGCCACCACGGGCGCGTTCTTCTGGTTCTTCCTTCCAGGTATGTTGTTCATCGTCTAGGTCGCGAGCGATACTGACCTCGCACTGCAGGTTATCTCTTCCAGGCGCTCTCTATCTTCTCGTTCGTTTGCTGGATCAAGCCTGACAACATCGTTGTCAACCAGCTCTTCGGCACGTCCAGTCTGGGTATGAGTGTCCTCACCTTCGACTGGTCACAGATTGTTTGGATCGGCAGTCCTCTCATGGTACCATGGTGGGCTGAGGTGCAGATTTTCACGGGGTTCTTCGTCATCTACTGGATCTTGTGTCCGATCTTGTACTACAGCAACGTATGCCCTCCGCTCATTATCCCGTTGTAGCCGCTCGCTAATTGCTCTCGTAGTCTTGGGATCTATCGTACTTCCCGATGATGGTGAACCAACCATACGATCGGTTTGGTGATCCGTACAACATTTCGCGTGTGCTGACACCCGAGCACACGTTCGATCTCGATGCCTACAACAACTATTCGCCCCTGTACCTCCCGGCGTCGTATGCGATCACGTACCTGGTCGCGTTCGCCCTGTCCTCGGCCATGATCGTCCATACCTTCTTGTACCACGGACGAACGGTGCTACACGGCTTCCTACACACGCGCATAGAAAAGGACGATATCCATGCGAAACTCATGCGTTCGTACCCTGAAGTCCCTGATTGGTGGTATCTCATGACGTTCGCCGCATGTTTGGCGCTTGCGATCGTGACCGCGGAGGTAAGCTGTCTAGATTGTGTGAAATTTTCGCCTTTTTGACGAATGTTTTCAGGTATGGCACACGGGCATCCCGGTGTGGGCGTTGCTACTCGCGATCGCGCTGCCAGTCACGTACATAATACCCTCTGGATACGTTTACGCAATGACGGGGCAGAACGTGAGTTTTCAACGCCACGACTAACGTTGCTTACACGCTTACGGCCTTTGCAGATCACGATCAACCTGCTCGCACAGATTATTCCTGGTATGATCCTTCCCGGCAAACCCGTGCCCAACATGGTAAATTCAGGGTTCCTGTTATGTTAACGATCATCGCTCATCGCCACCTCCACAGATCTTCAAGGCGTACGCTGTGCAGACCTTGGCGGAGGGTACTGCTTTTGTACAGGACCTCAAGCTCGGCCACTACATCAAGCTGCCGCCTCGCGCGACATTCATGGTGCAGCTTGTTTCGACAGTGCTGGTCGGGCTGCTGCAGGTCGGCGTGAAGGAGTGGATGTTCATCAACATCCCAGACATTTGCCAGCCTACACAGGAGGACTTCCTGACGTGCCCGCACAACCAGGTTCAGTACTCGACGTCTGCCGTATGGGGTCTTATCGGCCCGGCCCGGCAGTTCGGCTCGCAGTCCATCTATCACCCGCAGCTGTACGCGATCGCTATTGGTGCTGTCCTCCCGATTCCCTTCTGGATCTGGCAACGACGGTGGCCCAACAACTGGAACAAGTACGTGAGCATGCCGATCATCCTGAACGGCATCGGCCTCATTCCGCCGGCGACGGGCATCAACTACTCGTCGTGGTTCCTCATGGGCTTCATCTTCCAATTCTTCATCCGAAGACGCTACTTCAACTGGTGGACGAAGTTCAACTACGTGCTCACCGCCGCGATGGACTGCGGGACGGTGCTCTCGCTTCTGTTGATCTTCTTTGCGCTGCAATTCCCGAAGGGGGGTATCAATGTCAACTGGTGGGGCAACACCGTGTTCATGAACAGTACGTTGGGCGCTGTCAAATTTTTCTTTCCATCCCACTAACCGAGGTCATAGCTGCCGACTGGAAACACTTACCATTGCGACACGTTCCCGATGGCGGCCTCAGGTAGCATGCCATGACGTCGTCCACCACGTTCCTTCGCTCGTTTCTCTTCTCCGGTTATGTGGGACATTCCTTCAGTTAGGTGTACGAGTCTTCGCCGGGGTAGCACTGCAAGTACGGAAATCAACAAGAAATCAAAGATGGCCTCCCTTTTTCGCTCTCCCTCCAGTCCCCAGTCTCTAGCTCCCCCTCCCACCGATCCCCTCGGCACAGCTGCGGATCGCGTCCGTCCTCCCAGCCTCCTCTCTCCCGCTCCTCCCCACGTCCTGCTGCGCCGCCGCCAGCGTCGCATCATATGTATAAATGTTCAGATATAGCCTACCCTTTCCACGCGCCTCACCGGGAGCAGGCACAGCCCCGTCCACACCGTCCTCCCCACGCCGATTTTCTCCCACGCCGCCAGCCGTCTGTGTGTCGTGCACGGGCGTGTGCCCGTCCTCTCCCCATTGACACTTCCCCCCCCCGCCTCACCGACCTTCATTGCCACTCTCCCGGCGCGCCGGTTCAATCCGATTTATTAGCATATTAGAAGTACCTTACATCGGCGCGCGCCGTCTGTGATCCACATACCTATGTAACCCTCTCCCTCTATGTCTCTGGCCGTGGCTCTAGTAGCTCCTTCGCGTCTCCGCCTCCATCCTTCGTGTCCGGCCTCGGTGTCAGCCCCGTATTTTTTCTCACCCTCGCGAGTCTCCCTCCTTCTCTCTTTGTCGGCTGTTTGGTGTGCCAGTAGCACTAGGTATACATACTTTCATCTCTCGATCGAAATTTCTGCGCGCATGCGGCCGTGGCGCGGTGTGGTGTGGTGGCAAGGGTTCCGCGGGAGTTGTGCGAGTTGTGTCGACGTACAGAGCCGTGTCCGTACCCGAATCCAATCTCAAAACGTTCGGCGCATTCACGTTGTCATCGTCGTCGCCGCGATGGCCGCTGCGGACGTGTCGTGGCGTCATATATCGTGTTCGTACTCGTGGCTCGGACGGGCCCACGGACGCAATGTCCGCTGTCGCACGACCCGAGAGGCCTTCGTCCTGCATCTCAGGCCCGACCTCCGAGCGGAGTGACGAGCATGTTTGAGGACCGGGCAGGCCAGAAGCACGCCTGCACGCC